ACCGAAACTTATAGAAAAACCGAACCGAAACCGCACCGAAATTTTCGGTTCGGTGCGGTTCGGTTTCGGTTAATCGCAAATTTATAAAAAAAAAAAAGAAAACAAAAAAAAACCAAAATAAAATGAAGCTACATCATCATCATCTAATGTGCAACATTACCAAACTAAAAGCCCAAAATTTGAAAGAAAAAAAACTAAGGCAAGAAATTAGATTTAATGTAATGTTTTTAATTTTTAATTGTTATTGTTATTATTTATTACTTTACTTATTTATTGTTAATGTTAGTCATCCTAAACCGAAGGCCTAAAATGAGCATGTATATTTACAATACAAACATGTCAATATATTTCATATTTGTAAAAAAAAAAAAAAAACTATATTCGGTGCGGTTCGGTTAAAACCGCATCATTCGGACAAAAAACCGAACCGCACCGAAAGTTGTGCGGTTTTCCAAAAGTTTAACCGCACCGAAAACCGAATCTTAAAAAACCGAACCGAACCGCACCGAATACAACGGTTCGGTTTGGTTTTTCGGTTTCGGCTCGGTTTTGCTCACCCCTAATCTGGGTGGTGTTCAGCTTCTGGACGGCCGCCTCCGCGACTGGTGTCCAGGACACCACGAGGTGACGAGCAGTCTGCATAACGGCCTCAGGCATGCCGAACTCGTTGGGGAGGTCCTTCACCACGGCAGCCTTGGCGTCGATGAACCAGTCATCGGGAAAGCCAGAGAGGTCCTTCTAGAAGCGCTCCCTCTTTGCGTGGATCGATTGGATAATAGATTGAAGAGTCAGCTCGACTCCCTGGAGCACTTGAATCTTGTGCTAAGAGGGACCCCCCTTGTCATGAACTTTTTTCCTCTTGCCGGGGGCCTCCCTGGCACCTGCGTCCTCCTTGCCAGGGGAAGGCGGCTCCTTCTCTGTAGCCCGGCTCCTAGTCACTCTGAGCTCAATAACCGCCCCGGGCTAGCCACCACCACAGCCGGCATCAGTCCTGCGACCTCGGCCACGGCCTCCGCGGTTGCCAGCCCAACCCCTTCTTGCGGTACTGAAAGCGAGCGGCGCCATGTTCCCCGCGTCCATCGAACTCGAGGCTTGGGCCTTCTTCGCCCGTTCCATGGCCATCATCATCCGGGTAGACATGTATCTAGACCTGGTTTTGAGGGGATCCGGGTTGGCGCGTCGGTACTTGTTGGCTTCCTTGACGGACTCAAACCCGCGCTGACAAAGCAACGGATAATAAACTGCAAAAACACACACGACGAGCTATATAAGCACATGTCACGAGTCACAAGTACGGCCAAAGTGCCGGTCTGAGGAAAAGCGATTACCTGGGACGAAAGAGCTATTGGGGATCACCGGACACAGATTGTAATCGAGTAGACTCTGCTCCTCGACGAGAGGCCGAAAGTGCCGGTCTTCAAGTGGACAACAAAGTAGTGTGGTGATTCGAACGGCCAAACTCTCACTAAGTCTCGAACTCGGATTATGGACTGAAAATGTAAACACCGACCTATTAGCACAAAAGAAAATGATATCAGTAAACGAAGAAAACAACTTAAAGATCCTTACTTCTATCAGTAATGAAATGGGTATGGGGATGTCGGTCAACGTTCTCGGTTCTCCACTCGCCGCCGACCCAAAACCACTCCGGCATATAGCCATGCAGAGTCTCAGGGAGCTTCGTGACCAACATCTTATTGATCCCTGAAAGTACCGAGCAATAGTAATTCCCGGGTCACCAGCTTTTTTGAGGCCGAACAACGACCTCGCTTCGGCACTGGTGGGAGCAGGCCAACCTTCGCGTAGGAACATGACGATCAAGCTAAGGAGCCGAGCAAACACCATCGGTACCAATTGGCTGATCCCGGCCTCCCATTCGTAGAGTATATCATTCAACGCGCCAGCCATAGGGAAGCGAAGCCCTAAAAGAATGCTGGAGCGATAGACCCCAATACAGCCCGACAGCGGGTAGTGAATACGCTCCCAGGCGTAAGGGGCAAATATACGAACTCCTGGACCAAAATTGAATTTCCACCACAGTTGAGCCACATCGGTGTCATCCATCACCGATGGCATATTCTAGGTTGTCGCCTCACTGGGAGTTGCCCAGACCCGGATAGGACGGCGCCAAAAGCCAGGAGGAACCAATGTCGTCGCCTCGATCTCGGCATCAGTGGCCTCATCGCTACGACCCATCGACAATCTCTCTCGCCCTTCCATACCGCCCTGAAGGGTCTGGTCGACAAGGTCCTCGTCGACGTCTGAATCTGACTCCAAAAAGTCTAAGTTCATGTTCTCAACGTCATCGGATTCGGCTGATTGGTTTAAGTCGAGATCGTCTCCGTCACGAAGAGGTAGGAGGAGCCCCCCGAACCCTCTCTGCCACCATCGCTGGAAGCCGTCTCGGTCGTAGAGGAATCGGGTCAGACCGTAGAAAGGGGCACCGCCTCCAGTAGGGCATTCGCCTCCAAACTCGGGGAGTAAACGACCAGTTTGTTTTCCCCGACCGTCGTCATGTCGCCGGAGGAACCAGTGTGCTCGCCGAAAAAGCTGACAACGGTAATAGATTTTGAGGAGGAAGACATAAACAATGAATTTAAAACGAAAGAAAATACAACGAATGAACGGAATGTACCAAAAGAAAGTCGCCGGAAAAGGAAAAGCCTCGAAATCTAGCTCGGAAGAATCTCTCTCTCTAAAAATTCGATCGCACAAAATCGCAAAGGTGAAGAAACTAAAAAAAAAATCAGAGAAGGCCCCCCTAATTTGTAGAAACGGATGTCCAATGAGATGATGACGCGTGTCGGAACTTTTAAAATTCAAAAATTTGGAGTGACGTCTGTCAGAAACTAATGGACGCGATTGGTGGATGAACGGTTGGGGGTTTGCCACCTGTTTGCCATGCAGACAACACTTAAAGCGACGCGACCCTCTATAACTGACAAGAAAGTAACGGGCACGTCGCATTAAATACGTGTCCTTTCGGTTGACGTCATAAATGCACCGTGGGAGTTACCAAAATTCGTACAAGTACCGCGGAAATACCGACCTAGCAAGTGAGCCACTAAGGTACACGAACCAGGCGAATCCAGACTCGCTTTCACGAAAGACGACCTCAGAAGAGACGCCGCAGACCTCCCACCCGAGCTCGGGGTCTTGTATGTTGATATCTGGATCGGCTTGACCAGGGATTCATAGTTCGACAGCAAGAAATTGGAAGGAGACGGTCTCGCAGCTAGACCGGGCAGCTAAATCGATACAAAGTGTCGATCTTATTCACGAAGGAAATCACCCACGACGATGGCCGACATGATTTCAGAGATCGGCGTTTTGCCCCTCACGTCGAAGGGCTGACTTCTCAGGGTGCCGAGCAGGTTCGAAGCTTCCCAAGGGTTAGTAGACCAACAAACGCCGAAAGTCCGACTGAAGATTCCCTGAGGTCAACCACTGTACGAAAGTCGAGCCCGAAAGTAATATAATACTGCCATTTCTAATGATTGCCGATGGGATAGGCCACCTTGGTCTACTCCCTAGGGCATCTAGCCCGACAAAAAAGCCTGACAGCATTTAATGCCACCCATGTGTGCATTAAATGTCAGACAGATCATCTTTGAAGAAACCTCAAATAGCATTCACTAACCGTTAGAGAAGCGTCGACCTGTTTGCTAGGATCACTGTGCGACAAGACAAGATGAACAATGTCGAACTTAAAACAACTATAAATAGGAGGCCCATCTTATTTATTTGGGTTGTTGAAAATCACCAACTACTACTTTCTCTTTTTAAAATTTGTAATAAATTCCCATAATACCTCCCAACTGTAACGAAAGTGCCGACCTCGTTATAAGAGACTGACCTTGTAATAACGCAATATTCATATTTCTCCTTTGTTTCCCTTTTTTTGTCTATAAAAAATACAATATTAACCGTTGATCAGATTCGTCTGTCAACACAAATATCTTAAAAGAAATAAGAGGGTCATCTTGAAACTTTCAACATCATCTTTAATATGACGTTTGATATGTCTTACCAAAGTTATTTGGAAATAGTTTACTATATTAGTGAGTTAGTATTCTTCATTATGTGATTTAATAGTGGTTGTCGATATTTTGTATTTTATTTTTTTTTTTCAAAATTTTATTTTTGTGTTGCGATTTTTTTCGGATTGTCGTATAAATGGATTAATTTGTGGCGCTAACATTCCAAAGATGGGTGACAAATATGAGGAGAGTGGAACATATGTCGTTATTCACAATTACTAATTAGAAAGGAACATTAGTTAATACGATCTACCATCGCCCAATTCAAACTCATTATTCATCGGAAGACCAAAGTGTTGGAGCATCCTACCGATTTCTCAACATTTTATTTTGAACTCCGTAATTTTACTACCCCGCAAGATATTCACATTGTAGGTTTTCAAATAAAAATAGTTGTGTTTTCAATTTTATTTTCAAATATGTAGATATACATGTGGTTGTGCTTTATTATAATTCTCTACGTGTTATGTTATTATGTGTCGTAAGTGTTTTTTTTATGTATTTGTCTAAGTTTTAAGATTAATTTTCCTTTGCGATCTATCTGTTGTTCTCATGTTGGGAGTTTCTGTTTCTGTGGGTGCGATGTGGTAGTTTAGGCTCCTATTAGTTATGTCCTCCGACTAGATTAGACTGTTGGCCGAGTTCTAGATATAATTATATTTTTTTAGAAAAATGCTACAAGTACATGATAAACGTAGATAGAAGTGTACATAACACTCACATGGAGTAGAATCGACTTGATTTTTTTTATTTTTTTGATAGGACACACTTCTATATACAATATCATATACTTATAACATTACTCATTTTTTTTATCCTCTTTTATAAATCACAACATGCCAAATAAGACGGATATTCAAGACTTATGTGATCCCAATTCTCAGCGAGTTCGGTTGGGCGAAGGGTTTTCTTTTTCCTTATTCTCGAATTCTCGTCTTATCTTCAACCTCAAATTCGGCCATGGAGCCTGTACTAGAATCATCATCAGCTGAGCGACGGCGAACGTCTCCAGCAAGCGAACAGCTGCTCTATGTTCCTTGTTTCCGTGGATCTGAAATCTCTTTTCTTGCGTTCGATATATACGTTGTACCGACACCTGTTGACGGCGACTGCTCCGATGGTGTTATGTCTCCTGCTCTTATCATTGAAGATAAGCGCTATAACTTCTGCACTGTCTGCGTCTCAGCATCGAAGCTGTACATGTTTGAGTCGAGTCATAATCTCGGAGATAACCCTGACCCGTCGGGCATTAACGGGACGGCTGTTGCCACCGTTAACCTCTCAAATTATGTGAGTGAGCGCAATGTCAGATTGGAGGATAAGATGATAAGCTACATAAATCCTATGCACCACCCCAAAAGATTTCCAATAGCCACCGAAACCCCCAAGGGAGATATCCTTGTGTGTTCCAATCACATTCGGATTAACAGTGGTGAGGATGATGGTAAAGCCCGACCTCCGGCTGATTTCGAGCTCTACAATCAGGCCACCGGCAACTGGAAACAACTCCCTTGTTTGTACGACAGTTGGGATAAGGACCGTAAGCGATCTTGTTCGTATTCTATTTCCATTAGTTGTGTCACTTTCAGGAGCGAGTCTGCCTTTGTCGTTGTAAGCGATATAGGCATGTTTGAGCTTGATCTTGCGTCATCTGAAGGCGGCTGGCAAGATTTTAGCCTTGCTCGTAAGATTCCTCGACCTTATGGTCCTTTTATCATAATGAAAGATGGAGTGTGTTTGAGTTCGCATTGTGGTTTCGATGTTGAAACCCCGAAAGAACTTTCCCTGATTTGTCCATTTCTGAGGAGAGCATTTGATCCGGATCTCGGTTTTCTTCGCCATTCTGGTGTGGGTATTATTAAGAGTCAAAATGCTCATCATATGTACTACTGCATTGTGGAGACTGTTATAAATGAGCATACCTGGTGCCCTCACATGGCTGTCTACATATTTAGCTGCGATCTAGCAAAATACAGAGAGGACAAGCAGCAGCTCATAGCCAAACATTGGGAGGATCGGAGGATTTTGAAAGTCAAATACAAAAAGGCTAAGAAGAAGCTGAAAGCCAAAAAGGAATACAGAGAAGATGATGAGGGTAAACAGAGGGAAGCCAGAGAGGCTCTGAAAAAGAAGCACCAATGGGATCGGAACCGTCTCAAGTATGAAACTCTTCCACGACTTAACGCAACATTGGTTATGACAGTTAAGTATGTCTTAGACACACAGAGCTGCTCGCTTCTCGCCCCTCTTAGTTTGTGTTATGTTTAGTCGGGCAACCTCAGAGCTGATATATATATATAGGGTTGAGTTCACATGAGAATGGTTCTCAGTGAAAGAAATGAGAATAAATGGTAGCCGTTAAATCGGATGATCTAATGGCTGTAAAAAACAAAAAAAAAAAATTAATATTTTTACGTCTTA